GCCTCATTTTTAATTGTCGTTTCATAGCCTATTTTATTCTATGACAGTCTACCACGCAACCCATAGCTTACTAAGCTTTAGTCCACTAAGCATAATTCCTATAAAAGTGCTTGCAAAACTCTTTTTTCACCCTCCTAGATCGGCGGTCTCGCCGAAGCTGAGTATCTACCTCCTACGGCGTCAGCAAACGTTTCCATCATATTTCGAGGCTTTAAACAGGAGAAGGTTTTCGAGTGCAAAATAACCTCATTCAACCTCACCTTCTACACCAATGCATCATCCTTTCACATACCCTTCACTCTCTACGATGCCAAACTGAAGGTATTATTCTCTCTCGCACCATTAGTTCCGTAGTCATTTATGCTGATAATCTTGCTGTCTAGGGGAGTATAGTGATGCGAGTCTGGTATGCAATTTATTTTGATAGATTCTATCTCCAAGTGCTGAGACCTCTGATGATGCTCTGACATTTGATATCTTCGATGTGGGCAGCCAATACACTCGGAGTTTATACATCTCAAACCCGAATCCCATTGCAGTAAGTAGGAGGAAGCAGTTCCATTAACTACTGTTCCATTTCAGCTTTGCAAGCACCTTAACACCCTCACCATCAGTGTCCAAGGCAAAAATATAGTGCTAACAAGATGTGATTGACTGCCCTACCATCTCAAGGAGATTATAAATTGCTTTTATTGCCTTGGTGTTTGAGTCGTGGTGTTGTGAAATCATTTACTACAAACTGATGAAATGCCAGATGCCACATGTTCATGACGCCGAGCTCAAATAATTTAATTGGGAGGACACATTCGTTAGACCCAATGAGATGCCCCAACTGAGCATCCTGATGCCGATGCAGTTTCCCAATGCTGTTGTAGGTGGTTATTCAGCGGTTACTCGTGGATAGTCCGGCCGGAAGTTTGTGTGTTAGCCTTGCTCAACTCAGGCAACACTCAGGTCTCTTCTGTCATCACCACGGCCACCACCACCAAGGCTCCGAGGTTGAGGTCATCTTGATGTCGGGAAGGAATTGCAACTCTGAGCCGGTAAGCTAGAGCGCGCAAAAAGTATCCACGAACCACGACTCGTTTGGCCTTTTTTATGCGATTGCGAGATGACTCCGCTGGAAGTTGTCCTAGTATTGTGCATTTGCATTTTTCTTGAAGGCACCTCTGACTCTGCGACCCAAAAAACCATTTATCACATGATCCTAGTCCAAAACCTGTGTTTGAAATCTTTTGGCATAAATTTAAGCTCAACTCTCCTTTTAGCTGACTCTTCAACCGTCAAGTTGGATGCACTTTTCGATCATTTTCAATCAAGAACAGGTCGATTCTGCCACTGAATGGGTTCTAACAGTCGAATCAAAACTTGTTGTGAGTTTTTGCCTCTGTCCTACTTTGACCTTTGCAATTCCATCATATCATGACTGACTTAAGGCCGATATTTTCCCCTCATTTTCAGTCCATCTCGAAACTTCTGAGGTTTCGTGTACCTGCCAAAGTGTTGACAATGGAACCGCCAGTCCTCGATCTGGGTTCAGTTTTCCCTGTAAGCATTAAATGGACTGATTGCCTCTTTCCCTTTCCTTAATGTACACATTGGTTAAGTGCTGCGAAGATGCCATTGACAACCACCCCAGTGGTGGATTGCAATTTCAGCTTAGATGGCATGGAAGTGTGAACTTTGTAACAGACCTCCTAGCAGTCATCAGTCTTGGCGATTATCGCAAATAAGCTATTCGACTTGCCAAATTGCATTTTCTTTGCCATCACTGCCAAAGTGTGAATCTGTAAAACGTTCTCTCATGGCACGTCTTACTACCCAATTGCTTCTGCGCAAAAGTTGAAAAGTACACCCACGCACATTCCACTGCGAAGCATCAAACCAGGCGATTTGTTTTTTTTTTTTCTTTTCCAGGGAAAGCCTCTCTCACAGGACATTCTGGTGCCCAGCAGCCTCGCCCGACCGGAGGAAGTGACCTCACTTGAGTTCCACTCCATTCACGGCATGCCCAGCTTTCGAGTTGACCTCTCCCATGTTGCTGGGGTCACATGGGTTAACCTCGAGCCCAATCGGACCACGCTAATGGGTGTGCTGTCTTACAACGCTTGGCTTGGTTGCAGAGAGATCCTTGCAGCATCTACAACTTCTGGTTTTGAGAATGATGATGCTTCTGCTCGAGTATGCTATGCCGGATTTGAAGTTGGTAGTGCTAAGGGTATGAGCTTCACTTGCTGTCTTCCTCGTGCTTTGCGGCTTATTCGTTTCTGGCGGGATGGGTGTTCGAGTTGTATCGGGACTTCTGACTTCACAAAAAATATGGGTTAATTTTAAGGAGTGCAAACTGCACACAGTCTCCAGCTACATCCCCCTTTGTGCTCTTTTCCAAACGCTTAACCGAAACGTTTAACTTCTGCATGGGGAAGTTGTGTACCCAGCGTGCACCAACTTTGCTAGATGCTGATTTTCGTGAGTCATTGTGCTCATCGTTCCCGTATCGTACAATACTTAAAGACTTTGTATGTACGAGTTTGAGTTCTAAGCCTACGTTTAAAAGAAAATTGTTTGATAATTACCCACTGTTTCATGCTCAAAGTGGCTAACATTGTCGCCTGCTGCCTCGAGTAGTGATGTCTGGGTCGGTCTGCGATTACTTGCGCCGGCTGTTAATGCGAGATATGGACACACTTGTCACTGCTACCATAGTGGCATTCCCTTTTCAATGGTATGACGTTTAGGTTCTGGGTTAACTCTGAAAATCTCGTTTAATGTAAACATTCCTCCACTGGCTGCCCTGATCATTTAGGGAGAGACATTTCCTTCTGATAAAGTTGCCAGAGCGAGGTCACTTTTGGGTCAGTCAGCTGACTATAGAGGTGAACGCTGGCTATAGTCACATAAAAATTCCCAATTTTAGCCTAGACACGTAAGTGAAGGCGAAACTTTGAATAATCTAGAGATTTCACTTAACCTGAAACATTAAATCGTCGGGAGATGGAGCTGCTCTCCTATTTGCTAAGATTGAGTTATTAGCAATTAGTTAATTACTTCATTTATTCATTTTCCTCCCGATAAAGATAATTAACGCATCTTTATGAGAGTTTCTCTACCTCCATAATGCCACTTTAGCCTATTTGAATTTATTTTGAATAGGCAAAAGTCGCATAATCGGATACAAGCAGCATGCCTACCTGAATCCACAATACCTTCGGCAACATTTTATGCCTTAAAAAAGTTTTCTTTAAAATACTGCAATCAATTTCAGTTCTGAATGCTATGAACTCCACTTTGCAAATTCTTAAAAAAAAACAAGTGAATGGGCATTTTGGTGAGGTGACAACGTGGGTTAGTGAATTCATGACTTTCTTAGAAAGGTAGGTTATCTTAAAAATTCCACTTTACACTGTTACCTATCTGAAAGAGGTGTCGTAAATTGTGAAACATTGAAACATTTTTTTAATCCCAAATTAGACGTACAGTCGGTGCTGCCTATAATGCTTGATTTTTCAACCACCTGTCTACAGATCACAGAAATCGGTTGACATGTACTATTAGCGTTAATTTTCGTTTTTACCTTGCATGATACCACTTTATTTGAAGTCCTCTAACTGTTAGGTTAAAAAGGCATTCCAAATGAGTTAGTGCTTGAACTTACTTACCGATCATTTAATTTGTGCCTAAACAGTGGGAATTTCCTTTAAAATCATCAATGCATTTTGTCACGTAGTCGAAAATGCCAACTGATTGTTTCGTTGAAGGTGTGATTAGTATAAAACCTGGCCTTTGTTTTCTAAATGTTGAAATGCCACTCAGAGCATTATGATTGAAGTACATCGGTTTTTCTTTTAGGAGGATACTGGTTTGCAAGCAACTTCTTCCCCTTCTTAAAGGATGAGGGCTTGCCAAACCATGGCGTCACATCTACTCCAAGTTCCGGGATCGCCTTTTTTCCTGGTCTACGGTTTTCGGCCAGTCTCTTTACTCAGCTACGAAACGCCTGGCGCTCTTTGACCCGTCGTATCCACGTAGCTACTGTTGGTGTCGCCCCGTTTATTGCTGAGCCTACTGAGGAGTGCAAAGTGATTGGACGCGTTGCTATTCACTCCATAGACAAAGAGCCATCGTTCGTCGGTCGCCTAGTGGCTAATCTCATCTGGCCTCGCATTCTCAGTGAACGGGTTACATATGAGAAGGCAAACGCTAAATCCACTCCCTCCTCCTCTCCCTGTCACCTGAACTTCCAGTTTGGTTCCACTGAGGGTTTAGCACAATTATGGATTCAGAACCTTGTCACAGAGGTGGTTACCTGTCGTCTAACTCTCATTAATCCCACCGAGAAGCCTCTCATCATTCAGCCCATCTTGCTTGATGATCTTCTGCCGCTGAACATGAATTACACCGAAATGGTGGAGCAAATGCCGTCGCTTACAGCGGAACTATTTTCTGCTGCCCATGTACCCCAACATCTGGCAAAGTTTCCGCGGGTATGTGGCAGCACTACGAGTCGTCTCTAAAAAGGCAATAAAGCAGAAGGTATTTCGCCCCACTTAAGGGGTAGGAGGCTAGAAGCATGCTGTGGGAGAAGCCGTGGAGGCTGCATAGTTCTCGTAGTTAAATGTACTTTTAAATGTCATTTTGCTGCATAGCTCTATTCTCCTCCCTTTAAGCATCGTCCTTGGCATTCTTTGTGGTTTATTCTGCTTCGGTTGTCTCGAATCTCCCTGTATATTATTATCAACCGCACGACAAGAACGGAAGTGATTATGACTTTACATCACTTCATCTATTTCATTGGTGGTATTTATCCTGCGGATTTGGGTTTGATAAGTATCGCATCATTTTGAAACTTAACCTCACCGAGAATAGACAGATTGGGGAGATACAGCTGGATGTTTAATGCTTTTCGGTAGCCAGGATCTTTTCATATACCATTGGACTTTTGTGGGAGCACCTGCCCAAAGGCAACATGAGGGAAGGTGGCACCACGTGCTCAGAAGTAGGCATTTCTGTAAGGTCAAGTTTAATTTAGCACATCCATGTTATTTTGTATTAGTGATGACCTCGCTTAGTTTGAAAATGTGATGTTTTTTAAAAAAAACTACGCCACTTTGATAGCTCTCCTGTGGTAAATCTCATCGGATCCAGACATTCACAGTAGACATCTTTCCTTTTTTTGTATTTTTGGTATCTATTTGGTAGAATCAGGACCTTCCATTAGATCATTCTTCTTTTCTGCAGCTTGCCCACTTTAATGCTGTTTGGCCATCAATAGAAGTTATGCTTAACTTATTACAACAAAGGGAACATCTAGCCGTCAGATTGCGATCACAAATCCCCACTCCATAGGAATTTTATGAGCAGTTCCTTAGCATGTTTGCTTCTAAACTCTATGCACAAAATCGAACATTACAGCCACTCAAATGTTCCCCTGTTTCACTCCGACATCAATACTTGCATCTCCGAACGGATTAAATTGTCTGTTGCTCGAAAACTAAGAGAACGTTATCTGATTATTCCCCGATTGAGAACCTTCTCCATACATTTATTGTGTTGTTCCAAACTCAACCTATCTGCCCTACACTCTATTTATTGCGACCACTTATTAGAAACTGCTAAGACGTTTCAAACTTGAGACGCTGCGTTCTAACAAGAGAATCTGAGCGTCACATATAAGTGTCACTGGTGATTAATTTTTTAAATATGCTCATGTGCAATTATCGTTTTAGGACATTTTCATCTCGGAACGTCTGTAACTTAATCCGCCCTCTCTTTTTACTGACTTTGCAGCATCCTTCACAAAGAACTGGGCGATTCACCTCGTACAGGGACACGGCAAAATTTGACGACGACTCACTGGCCTCTCTTCGCTCGGTTCTCCACTATCATAGCCTTCAAAACGTTGTCCTGCCCACCTGCTGTCCGGTTTACGTCCTCCCACCAAAGGGGGGTGAAGTGACCTACTTAATTACCTTCACACCGGGTGCCTTCCACAATGAAAGTATTGGGTATAACCACCATCCGAAGTTCGACAACTCCCTTCTCCTGCTTCGCAACAATCTCACAGCTCTGGAGACGGTGCTTCTGCAAACAGTCACTAGGACCGCGGTGGTGGGTGTTCGTAGCGGCCTCCTGCCCATAGACTCATCCTCGCACACCACGGAGGGGAGTGAGCGCAGTTTTACGACCTTTCCCACTGCAACAGGCCTTGCGTTTGATGCAGCAGTTAGTTTCAATCCTTTGTTAGTCAATCCGGCGTGTGAGAGCACGCCATTGGCGGGCATTGTGGATGTGGCGCGGTACGACCTGCGCTCGGAGAGTGGAAATGCCTTGTGTCCGGTTGCTGCTGCGAGTGAGAGGAATTTGTCGCTGTGTCGGGTGTCTGCAACTCTCTTGAATAATTCGATCCCCGATGGAGCTCTTTTCTCCTTCACATTTAATGAGGGACACCTTAGGTCACTGTGTAAGTTAAATCCGAGTCCTCCTTTTGGCTCATCTCATGACTTGTGGCAAAAGTTAAAGAACCTGCCTGTTGAACAGTTTCCCTACATTTTTTAAAAGTGAGCATGGACTTGTGGCGGATGTTTTCAGATTTAGCTATTCATAATAGATCCTCTCCTTCTTTGATACTCAAGTACCGCCTCTAGGCAATGAAATCAAGATCGTTATCCTTTTTACTGGATTCGGTTACCACTGCCAAAGCAAACTTTAAAGCTTCTGGTCTTGGAGGAGCTTTCTTATTGACCAGCAGATAGGCTGCACAAGCAAGCCTCCATGGCATCATAGTGATTAAAATCAAGGCATATCATTTTGCTACAGCGCCCTCATCTTGTTTTTTTTTGGTGTCGTCACCAGCTATCCTCGTGATTACTCTTCTACCACGGCTATCACAAGGCGGCTGGGTGTACTATAGTCCATCCACAAGATGAAAGTGAAGGTTATGATATGATTATCCATCACTGCGTAAAGACGTGTTGAGGACTAGGATTTATTTCTTATGTATTGTAGCTGTAAGGGCTTTTACAGGAAGGGTGTGCTTCTTGTAGGAACATTTTGTTAAGTGCAATTTACCTGATGAAGTGAGCAATAAAAAGTAATATCTCACAATCTCATCCGCTTTTCTTGCATCCTTTTTCGCATGATATTCTGAATCACCTTTCTGAAGTACTGCGCTTCTCTCTCCGGTTACGAATGCAGAACTCGAGATGAGGGTACTAGAAATAAGTCACAATCTAAACTGGCCTTCCTTTGTGACCTTTTGCCAATTCAATCTTCCACGAGAGACACCTTCCCTGAATGACGTTTTAGAGGAGTTTTCAGCAAATAAAGCCAGAACTGTTGTTCACTAGAAGTTGGTTTACAAACCCTGCTGGTGATGCGGCACTAATGTTATAAGATGCATAGATCGGGGAGGAAGTTTAATTGTTAAGTAGTAGTCTGGGTGGCCTCGTCTTTCTGAAGTCCAAATGCTAGGGACTAAGTAGTTTGCATAGCCAACTATTACTTTATTACAACTACACACCTAGATAACTTCGGAACGCACCAATTCCACTACACGAAATGCACGCCTAATCACTGAGTGCTCCCTGAATATTAAAATCTCGAGAATAAAAATGGTTCTCATAAAGCTGGATCAAGTAGCATTATTGATGGCTCACACAACTAGGAAATTTTGCACTGCGCCTTAGTTTAGATTCTATTGCATGCAGATTTTTAATACTTGAGTCATCGTAATTGTACTCCATGC